TAAATTAAATAGAGGGAAATTTAGTAAAAGACAAAAGAATCCTTTGTCTTCTAAATTTCCCTCATGTTATTCATGAGGAAAATTGGAGTTCCTTTGCCTTCTATACTTCCCTAATGCCTTGCACAATGAAAATATAGTAGACTAGATACCCCTCAAAAGAATTTCTACTGAAAACAGGTCTCCTACACCATATGGCACTAGCATGTCTTGCATGTGGGACATTGTTTACCTAACTGCGCATGCCTGTGCACTTAGTTAAAAAAAACGAAAATGTCTATGACAGATTTATTCGCAGTCACATAAAAAATATAATGAAAAATCACTTGTTTAAAATCGTTTGCTATAGCACCACATTGCACTTACACTTTTGCCAAATCGAAATGAAGCATCGAAAGAAATAGCGTTCAATACAGCAAAACTGATATAATCAATTTTAATTCATTGAACTTAGCTGTCTGTTCTAAACGAAAACCTCTCAGACATGTTGTTTGAGCATTGTATACGAATTTTAATTCTGCGATATAAATATTATCTTTGGTGCCCTAAGGGACTACAAAACAAGTGCATGAAATAGTACTAACGAACAAATGTTGAATCAATTACACAATGAAGACAAAGTAATGTGTTTGAAAACTATTGTTTGATTACATCATTATCAAGCCTAGGTGTCCTAGGTGTACAATACGCTAAAGAGCTAGTTATGCATTTTGGCGGCGTTGTTTACGCTTCCTTGACTAGAAAACTGAACATGATATCAAAGATGTTTCCTTACTTCCTCGCCGATAATAGTATTACAAAGTAATACCATGTCACTCGTGAAATTAGTGATTAAATTTCCCCGATACCTCGGGAAAATTTGTAAAAGTCCCTCGGGCTGCGCCCTCGGGACTTCCACAAATTTTCCCTCGGTTTCGGGGAAATTTAATCACTAATTTCCCTCGTTCCATGGTATTACTTATAATAACATTAAAAAATTCAATTAGCGATAATCGCATGGTCCCCGAAACTATTTACAAAATCACAATAACATTAGTCACGACTTTGTTGTTCACGTCCAAAACCAGCATATGTACGTTTCCAGTCACATCCCCAGAAAGTTTAATGTAAAGCGTTGACAATTTAGCTACCAGGCAGCAATTTTATAACTTTTAGGTAAACTAGTTATTAACTATTCTTGAAAGAATTTAAAAAAATTCCAGTACATGCGGCATTAGCATTTTATAGGATATAAAACAATTGAATAAACAATCAATTTACACGTCGATTCGTGGCTACTCCCGACTTAACTGGAATTTTAAGAATAGTTAATAGGGCTATGGTCCTCCCACAATGCCTTTTGATCTCTTACTTATGTTTACTTTATATAAGGATACATCGTACTTTCAGCAAAAACGTACTCTGTATTATTCCTATATATGCTATATGAACAGAGATGAGATTTAAAAATATACACTTTTAACGTAGCGATATACTAAAGAGATAATCAGGGGATAGCGGGTGCTGATATACTTAACAAGGCTTAAAAAAGCACGTAACGGGCTTACTGAAAACCGTCGTAGGGTTTAGTTCTCCATCATTCAAGACCTCGGGCCTTCGGCCCTCGGTCTTGAATTTCAATGAAAACCCTCGCCCTAGTGTTTGAACCTTTATCTATAAAATGGGATTCCACTGTAGAATGGGCATTTGGTTGCGCTGAGTCACTCGCGTTTTAGCAATGCAAAAGGTACTCAAATACGACTCAGGTTAGACACACGACAGGTTTAATGTACTCAAAAGGTCCTTACAAAACTCTGCCTAGAAATAGGTATGATAGGTGATATATCAAAATATGTAAGATTATATATACATTATAACAGGGCGTATTTTCCACAAGTCATAATCTATAGAGGATATTACATGGGCGCGCGGAGATACGGATTTTATCTTCGAGTGTTGAAAGATCTCTCACGAGTGAGCGTAGCGAACGAGTGAGAGATTTTCAACACGWGAAGATAAAATTCGTATCCCCAAGCGAACATGTAATATTCTATTTATCATATAATTGTATACGAAAGCAAATTATGCCGTAAAATAGCTTTTTTCTTACTTCCACTATATAGAGAAACCTCGAATGTGTTATTTTCACTAGTGAAAATAACATGTTATAACATAAAAAATAAAAAATAACATCTTTGAAAGTGTACGAAAATGAAATTATAAAGAAAACTCAACATTATGAAAAACTTCGAAATAGAAAAACCTACGGATGGAAACGGATTGCAAATAGCTGAATATTTGAAGTCACGTCATTTTCACATAACTGAAAATATAAAACACGTCTGCATTTTAAATAAATTACCCTTTAAGAAGAAGAACAAAAAAGGAATAAAAAAAGACTATCTTAGATGGCGGGTCATTGCGGTGAAAAGTAGAATAAAACACCCCCCACGTATACTATAGCTTACAGTGAAAGACATAGAGTGGACTTACAGCTCAGCTCAAGATTCTATAAAGCCTTTATTTTAAGGCCCCACTTGTATCCAAGAGCCTTTGCGCGATTGTCACACATATTGTGTGCTCATAGTGTAGGTCTAATTATAGATAATTATATATATAAGTAATGGCCCGAGTAAGAACTAGGGAAGCAAACGGCAAAGGAATGCAAGAAGTAGTCTCCTCGCAGCCGTTCTTAGTGGCGGGCTCCCTGTACCGGGGGACAGGGAGCCCGACACTAAGAACGGCTGCGAGGAGACTATGCAAGAAGGTGCTAATTTTGTATTGTATAATCCATCCATCCCATTTTGGTTTAAAGAAGAAAATCTTATATAATTTCACAAGTTAGCGCATTTTCTAATATTTTATTTGATATCTGATTCCGACTTCATGAAAGCTTTCTTTAGCTACAATATTAAGGCAATTCTATGTGGGGAACATAGCAAATTAGAAGCTTCTTTTGGCTATTGTTTTGAGTGCTTATGATTGGATAAGAGGTTTTAATACAAAAGAAACTTTGTTTCAAGAATGTGTTACCCATAGGTTGATATATAATCAGTGTGAAAATCAAGACATTCGTATGTGGGGAAGTTGTAATGCCGCAGAGCAATAGAGAGTTCCCTAGTTTTTAAGCGCATTGTTACATAATATCATAAGAGGCCTGTAAATGTATTCGCTAAATCTCTCTAAATTACATTTTTTTTCAACAGGCAGAATTTCGTTTTTATTGGCTTCACACTAAACTTCAAGAAGACTCACGATTAAGCCAGACATCATCGTTAAACCCAGTAAGCGTTTGCACAGTGGACCCATTAACGCAGCAAAGTTTTGAAAAAAAATTTATGATGCAAGAGTGTGTCAATAAGAGGACATACAGCGAAAAACCGTTTGCAATTTTTTTTTACACAATTTTATTCTAAAAATTAGCGAAAATGTTTCTTTTCTTTCAATTAAGCGCGCACGAGACGTGATGTTGTAAGCACAGTGTCTCTCATTGACATACTCTAATCAACCAATCAGCGCGCGAGAATTAGCATACGATGAGCAAGAAAGTCTTCCGATTTGCAAGCTTGAAACCGATACTAGTACTACTCCCGATTTAGGCATTTTGTTAGACAGAGAGAGCATTTGCTGCGAGCTGAAGTTACATGTTAAAGATTAGAAAAAAATAGGAAATTCAATATAGTCCAAGTTCAATTCAACAATAATAATATTTTATTCATAATAAGAAGAATTCTTGAACCTTGGCTTACTACCAAATTTTAATTGAAAAATTTGAATTTTGATTTACTTAAAAGTACTCGCGAAAATAGTAGTCATTGAAGAATGATCATTCAAGATGGCGCAGGGAGCCGTGAAGGATACTATTTTGAAATTCTGATGGCATTTACATTCATGATAATATCTTGGCGTCTATTTAATGCATGTTGTGTATTTTTCAGTACAAATTTGAAGTCCTTGAATATTTTYCTTGTACAACACAAGAAATAAAAACAGCAGTGGAAAAACCATCATCTTTTGAGGTAAATATAATGCTGACGTTGAATACTCGTTATTCTTTTTTTGCTTTCATGTCTTTTTTTTTCGCGGTCGACCGAGTAGTTTGTCGTTTTAACAAAAAAGTTGTGATCGTGTTTTATGTTGTTTGAGGGAGTATCAAACATATAACTCGAAGGCGCTTGGGCACCCAAGAATTTGGGTACTATTAGGATATATGGTAGATTATTGTAGATGTAGGATCCAGAACGTTACAATAACAATTTAATATTTCTCTGTACGTACGAGTCATATTTTAGCAGTGTTTAGAACAATAACAATGTTTTTCCGAGCCTGAACTTTTCAAGATCGAGATTCCCAATATATGTATTGTGACGTGTGTGTCAAAAAAACGTAGTAAAAGATTATGTACTGTTTTATTTTTATTTTATTTATTTTTTCTCTATCGTCTTTGAAGAAATTAGAAAGAGCAAAATTCTTTTAACAATTCTATAAAATAAGAAATCTAGAGCATCGGACTTTAAGTGAGAAATAAGAGGGGATGGAGAATTTCCCTTTTCCCCTCCCCTGAATCCGCTGGGATGGTAATCACGTGTTGGTTAGTCAAACATCTCTTGATTGGCTTCACGCCTATTATATTATTTACTTTTCCTTCAGGTCGATGGTTTGCTTTTTTATCATAAGCGTGCTCATTATACACACGGGCGGTCTCCCCTTGTTGGATGGCTCAAGGTCTACATGCTGTCAGAAATCTTAAACATTCCTATAGACAACGAACTCAAAGTAAAGGCGCCTCGTGTTAACAAATTGACTTTAATGAAAAATAACCTTGACTTGAAAGACACAACTGATGATAAAACTGTCGAAGAAAGAGCCGAAGTTGAAAGGCAGAAAGCACAAGAGCAAAAAGTAAGCATGGAAGTTGACAAACAGCAAAGGTGTAAGGAAGGATATTCGAACAACTATGAACAAAGTAATGACCTTGCGTCAGATAGTACCAC